CTGCCCAGCAGTACTTGGCAGATGGGCTGCTTCTCCTTCTGGAATGCCCTCTGCCTCCAGGGAGACCACCTTCTCCTGTTGCTCCCCTGCCTTTCTGCTCACACCTGTCTGCTACAAGGGCTCCTCCCTTCCTTTCTCTGCCCTGTAAATGTTGGGGTTCTGGAAGCTTTGTGGCAGGTTGTTCTCTCCCTCTTTCTCCTCCAGCTCTCCCCAGGCAGCCTCCTGCTCTCCCAGCACACGCTGATGGCTCAGGTCTGAATCTCTTCCCTGCATCTTTTTTCTGAGCTTTACAGCCAGAGCCCCAGTTGCCCCTGGGCATTGCAGCTTCCTGGGTGTCCCACAGACCCTCAAAATCATCTTGTCTAAAAGATTCTTTACCACCTCCTCCTCCAACCTGCTTGACGATTCAGTCCTGCTCAACTAATGACCCCCCATCCATTCAAGTATGCAGCTGGATGTCAGCTGAGACCTCCCTCTTCCCTGCTGCCCACCACCCCCTGGCAGTCACTTTGTGCCTGTGCTGTTTTCAAACCCACTTGTTCCCCTCCAGGGCCATTCCCCCATCTTGGTCCAGACCCTCCCCCTTTAGTATCCAAACTAAGGCAGCCCTGCTCCATTCCACCCTTACTGTCCATTCTTCCCAGTGCAGCCAAAGAGAGTTTTCCAAAATATGTACCTGATGGGGTCTCACTCCTATTTAAGATTCTACTAGGCTTCTGTTGCCCTCAGGATGAAGCCCCAGCTCCTCAGCAAGTCTCATAGTCTAGGCTTTGCTCACACTCCAGCCTTGTCCTCATCCCTACCTCTCACCCTGGCTTCTGCTACACTGACCCAACATGCTGTGCCCTTCCCTGGCCTCACTGAGCCTTCATTCCAGCCTTTTGCACCTGGTGGCCTTTCTGCCCCAAATGCTCCCCCTGCCTCTTCTTTGCTAATTCTCCTCCTACCCTCCAGGACCCCCTGGCTCAGTCCCACCTCTACATCTTGTTATTGGCCAGATCCCTAGTGAGGGTCCCCGCTTTTCTTCGTCCTGACCCTCTCCATGCCCAGTTCTGTTTTCCCCATTAGAACATGAGCTCTTTATAGATCCCCATCTGTAACACTGGCACACTAAAGACACCTTGATAAGTGCTACTTGAATAAATTAATAGATGTATGAAGGACATGTGTACTACCTTTATGTCATATGCAGAGACATGTAATATAGCTTTGGGGCATGCATTTACCAAAGCTTTAATTTATGAAGAAGAGAGGAAGGCGGTAATTTTACAGGGGAATGTTACAGGGGAATCTAGGAGTTAGTATTGAGGCTGAAGGTGTGGGCTTTGGAGCCAGGAGCCCTGGGTTCAAATCCCAGTGCTGTTGCTTGCTCCTGGTGTGACTTTGGGAAAATTACTTAACCCCTCTGCACCTCAGTTTCCCCACCTTTGAAATGATGGTGATTGTACTTAACCTCAAGGATTGTGGGGAGGGTTAGAGGATGCTTGAAAACCTATCAAAGGAAAGTATTGTCATTCCCGTTTTACAGATGAAGAAGCTGAGACTCAGAGAGGTGATGTCCCTTACCCAAGGTCACACAGCCGGTAAGGAGCAGAGCTCGATTTGAACCCAGCCCATCTCTATGTGCCAAGGGCTGGGGAAGCAGAGGCATCATACCTCCAAGTCCTGAGATTTTAGTCTCCAGATAGCAATCTCCAGAAATATTCTACACTTATGTCCTGAAAAACATGCCTCATGAAGGATCTGCTTCCCTTCCTGGCTCATAGTAGGTGTTCAGTATAACTTGAGTAAATGTCTCCAAAGAGTTCTGTCTAGTCTTCAACATTTCCTGCTCCCTGGACAGTGTTGGGAGGTCTGTTCCTTGGTCCTTTTTTTGCCAGGGTGTTGGCAGCGAATTCTTCCTTATTCAGACCTTTCTCCTGTCCCAGCACTTCATGGGGGAGGGTCATTAAGAAAGCTTTTTCCCAGGAAGAGCTGTGCCTTCTTCAAGTCTCCAGAGTTGAGTGCCCCAGTCCCTGGCTCTCAAAGGCTGCCCTTGTGGCTTTCAAAACAACCCACAGCCCTCAGGCTGAGAACCTGCCCCCAAGCCCCCTATCTTTAGAAACCCAAGGTCCATTGCTAGTTAGAGTCAGCTCTGGTAAAACCTAAGGAGAATAGTTTGAGGATGTTTTCAAATAGTGTCTGGTGGAACAAAAGAGCAATTCATCCTGCGTAGCTTTTAGTAATCTGCTTCCCATTCTGGGAATTAGATTGTTCAATTAAGCGAGAGGGCGCCGAGGCAGGCTGCATGACTCAAAAGTTTGCAGCATTCAAAATGTGGAAGAGAGGGGACCTGAGCCAGCTCCCTCCTGGCTGATCTGCCCCCTCCGCTGTCCCTCTACCCCCGTGCCATTTCCAGTTTTCGAATTCCAGTTCAGAAAACAACTACATCAACAAGAAGGCATGTGTGTATGTGCACCTGTGCTAGCTAGGGACCTCATGTAAGTGTTTCTTTAATGAAAAATTCAGAGCCTGGGGTGGACTGGGAAAAGCACACCATCTGCACTGGCCCACTTTCTTTCCTGTGTGGGCTTCACCCTTCTCATTCACCAGCTGCTGGGCATTCAGGATGCTGTTGGGGGCAGTTTGCAAGGTGGTAGATATATGTCGGCTAGGAGACTCTTAATCTAGAAACAAGGTACTTGATGAGCACCCTGAGGTTTCCCTGCAGAATTCTGGGAGTGAGTGGGTACATCACAGTATTTTGGTGGGGAGAAAGTCCAGCCCTTCAGTAGCTTCTCAAAGGATACCAGACACCATCCCCAGGTCCTCTTCAAAAACACTATTCAGGTGGAGTTTGTAGGTCATTCCTTCATAGCTAGGAAACTCTACTTCTGTAGTGTAGAAGCCTTATCATGCATAAGCAGTCCTTGAGGAAATGTGGCAACATGCATCTGCCAGGGAATCATACAGCAAGATTCAGGCTCAGCGGGTCTGGGACGAGGTGCAGGAATTTTTGTATTTTTAGCAATCACTCCACAAAGACCATGCTCTGAGACCCACTACTCTGTTATGATAATAGATACTCTTGAAGGTTTTATTTAATGGCCTGTAGTTCTTAAAGGAATTAAAGCCAAAGACTACTAAGACATAAGAAATGAAACAAAACACAAAAAACCTGTTGCTGGGGCACCTGCGTGGTGCAGTTGGTTAAGTGTCAGACTTGGTTTCTGCTCAGGTCATGATCTCAGGGTTGTGTGACTGAGCTGAGCTCAGAGCCTGCTTGAGATTCTCTCCTCTCCCTCTGCCCCTTCTGCTCCTGCTCTCTCTCTAAAATAAATAAATCTTAAAAAAAAAACCTATTATAACTATGTGGCTTTCTCCTTCCTTAAATAACTTGGACTTTTTTTGTTGTTGTTGTCCAACTTATACTAGTAGAGGGCAAAAGCCATACATGCTTACCTTTTTATCTGCAGTATTAATATAGTGCCTGGTACATAGTAGGTGCTCAGTAAATGTGTTTTTAGGTGGATATTCCCACTTCTGGCTATAGGTCTGAAGGCTGGTTTCCTTTCAAGTAAATCCACAGCCACACACAGCCCAATTTTGTTTGGGGGCCTGCCTGATTTCTCCAACAGGGATTGGGGCCGGAGGGAGCCTGTAGACCAGTGCTAATTGGTGTCATTGGGTAATTAATGCAGAATCAGGCCCTGAGCAGATTCCCAGGGAGACAGACACTGAGGGAGGCTTTCATGCTTGGTGGGATGGGAGCTGCTTGCTCAAAGGACGTTCCCAGAGCGCTGAGGCAACTGGCGTGGTCCAGCGGGGGTGGTTTGGCAGCCAGAATGGGGTTCGTGGAGTGAGTTTGGAGGGGGTTTGTGTTGGTGCCATGGTTCTGCACAATATGGAGCGTGGCGAGTTTGACTTTAAAGAAACACAAACCCCAGGCGTGGGCTCTGGGAGCCAGGCCTGTGTCAACCCTGAAGAATTGATGGGTTCTGAAGGAAGAGTGTGGCTGGAAGCATTGGCTCAGTGTAGCCAGGGGTCCTCCCCCTCCTGTGGCCTGGGCCCTCTGGGATGTCCCTACTCTCTGCATGCTATTCAAGGCTCCCAGGGACACTCCTCTGTTTATCTTTTCTGTTTTTCCCTTCTGATCCCTGTGCTCCAGCTTTCCCCAGGTATCCCATGCCCTGTGTTCTGGCTGTTCCCTCGATCTGAAACCACCTTCACTCCCTCTCTCTCCTGACTAAATTCCATCATCCTTCACAGTGTAGCTCAAATATCACTTCTTCCAAAAGGCTTTCCCTGACCCCCTGTATCAGTCAGGACTGGTTGTTTTTTGCCACAATAACAAATACCTCCAAAGATCTCAGTAGCTTAGAGCAACAAAGTTGCTTTCTTGCTCACACAACATCTTTGACAAGGGGTAGCAGAAGGGCTCATGTAGTCACTCGGGAACTCAGGCTTCTAGAGGCTTCATCTTGATACATACCCTGTCATGACAACAACAGTAGGGAAAAGGGAAGCTGGCGAACCACACCACCTGGCTCTGAAAGTCACACAGGTGCCATTGGCCAAAGCAAGTTCAGTGTCCACTGTTTAGTTCAGCAGGCTAGGGATGTATAATTGCTCCAGCTCAGGGAGGGACCTGGAATGTGTACGTATAGTCCTGCAGTCTGCCGGCAACCTTGAGATAGGCTAGATGCTTCTTGGTCTTTCCAGAGTCCCTACAACTTCCTCTGTTATAGCCCTTGTCATGCTTATTGTAAACCATCTGCTAACTGGCCTGTCTTTTCCCCCATGAGTGAATCCATGACAACAGATGCCTGGGTCTTGTTCTTCTCTGGGGTTCCCAGAGCTGGCCCTGGGTTTGTCTCAGAGGAAGTGCTCAGCAAATGGTGGAGGGCAGGTGAATGAGTGGGTGGCCCATCCCTGCCCCTCTATAGCACTAGCTTTGCTGGGGGTGGGTGGGGTCAGGGTGGATCTCCAGCCCCCATGACTCTTCCTACTCCCCTCTGCAGGCGCCGGGTCTTGGCCATCTCAGATGGGATCGAGCACATTGGGAACCTCCGCTGGGAGCTGGCCTTGTGTCTCCTGGCAGCCTGGACCATCTGCTACTTCTGCATCTGGAAGGGGACCAAGTCCACAGGAAAGGTAAGAGGTGCATCTTGAAGCAACTAGCCACGGGCAGGGGAGGACATGAGCTGTCCTTGTACGAGATCACAGGTGACCCAGAGAGTGCCAGGGAGTTCACACTGCAGAAGTCAGCTCTTCTCTGGGGGTGGTAGGAGGAGCACTGGACTGGGAGTCCACTCAGGAGCCCAGAGCTAGAATCCCAGTGTACCACTTACTTGCCACACACCTCAGGACTATTCAGTTCTGCCTTCTGAGCCTCAGGTTGCTCATCTGTGAAATAACGAATCCTGTCCTCTTTTTTTTTTCTTTTTAAAGTTTTTTTATTCATGTGTAAGGAACAAACAGTGTTCTATTCGTGTCAGGTGTGCAATCTCATGATTCAACCATTGCATACATGACTCTGTGCTCATCACCATCAGTGTCCCCTTCACCGTTTTCACCCATCCCCCCACCCACTGGTCCTCGGTCAACCATCAGTTTGTTCTCTGTATTTAAGAGTCCTGTTTTGATTCATCCTTTTTCTGAATCCTGTCCTGTCTTATGGAGAGCTGTGCAAGGAAAGGGGAGGTAAAGTGCTTTGAACACTGGAAGCGCTAAACTACTACTGTGTGGTTTTTGTCATGAAGATATGTGCTCCAGGTGTGCGTGAGGGCAGGTGATGCTGGCTGCCTACACTGACAGGCCCCAAGACCTCACCCACCTGGAGTCTGTGGAGGGAAGGGCAGATGCTTCCATCTGGTTGCCTTGCTGTACCATCTGTACCACGTAGCCTCCAGGGCCTCTATCTCCTCGGGGAGGAGAAATGGGAGGAGGCAGCCGACTCTCAACAGGCCTGGTCAGGAGGTTACCACAGGCATCTGGCCTACATCTAAGGCATGGCCTCACCTACCTGCCAAGGAGGCTCGAAACGTAGGGGAGCAGGGGGCGTCTTTAGCACAGCCATCTGTGCCACGAGGATCAATACAGAGGTTGTATGTGTAGCTCATGGACAAGTCCAGCCCACTCATGTGTTTTATTCAAGAAAAGAAAGTAAAGAATTAGTTGCCAACATTTAAAAATCCAGAGAGTTCATGTTGAAAAAGGAAATATGAATCTGGTATCCTTTGGAAAGTTGAAAGTTTTGGTGACGCTGGGCCTGCATGCCTACACAGCAGCATTTGGCTGAGGTGAGCAGCATCTACCCCCTTCTAGGGACACTCTGCTTGGCCACAGTCTCCGCCATTTCTTATTGCCCTGACCCTCTGGCTGAATGTCAGTCCCATTAGTGTCTTCTGAGACAAGACCATTTCACATTTGTGAAATTCCATTTTTTCTTGTGTGAAAGAGGACATGAAGATTTACTTACTCCTGGTTCACCCTGACCATGTCACTCCTTGCCTGCTTGTTTCCGGTGGGCATTTGCTCATCACCTTTATTCTAAGCTATTGGCTGGGTCAGGGGCTGGAGGTCAAACCTCCAAGGACATGGGAACTTAACTCTGGGTCCTTTTACAAAAGATGGTTCCCTCAGCTCCCGCAGTGGTAAGTGTTTGACAGGTGGGTGGACCTGCTGGGGGGAAGTTAGGAGAGCAGAAAACAGATACCAACAAGCCCCCATGCTGTGGACTCTAAGGGAGCTGAGGATGTACTAGAAAGGAATCATAAATGTGCCTCGGGGATCAGAGAAAGAACAGAGACTCACGTCCTGTCGGCCAAGATGACTTTGCTGATCTTTCCTTTCTCTGGTTTGTATCATGAAAGTAATAGGATTTTTCTGTTTTTCCAAATCTAAAAATCAGTGCATTATTGACATACTTCTTTAGACTATATACACTTTGCTCCTGTTCCCCTTCTTGCTGCCTATTCTGGCTAAAGAGGAGGAGAATGGCTTAGAGGGGTGAAGAACCGGAGTCTGGAATCAGGATTCACATCTCAGGTCTGTCATTCATTAGCTGTGACCTTAGCACGTCGCTTAACTTCTCTGAGCCTCCCGTTTCCTCCTCTGCAAAATGGGGATTGGTATGAGGCTTGTCTCATGGGGTGGTTGCCAGGATGAGATGCAAGGATGCAGATTCCAATCTTACAGGGTGGGTAATTAATGGCAAGTGCTGAATAATGGGGAGATCTTAAAAAAATCTTGTTATAAAGATAAAATTTATTCATTTGAGAAGTAGTTTCTGGGTATCTATACCCAGCATTATTCAGTGGATATCTAAAGATGAATAAAACATAGCCTCTACCCTACCCAGTTAACATATGTGTGAGTGCTTTGTGAACTGTAAAGGGAAGGGAGGAGGTGTCATGGTTGATACTATGATTGCTTCTATCATGATTATAACTTTCCTGGGAGTCAGTGCCAAGGCCAGTGGGCTTGGCTGGGTGGCAGTTGTATGCAGTGGGGTTTGAGGGCCGTTGGACAAGGTGTTAGTGCATGCACGTGCTTGGGTTGTCCACATGCACAGGTGGCCCTGAGTTCTTGGGCCCAGGATATGGTCCCCAGCAAAATTTGGTTCCACTCAGCCCTCAGGAGGAAGCTGAGTCCCATGCACGATAGGGCCACTTGCCATTGGCTGGGCCATCAAGCTTGTCTGTCGAGAATTCTAATGCAGGGTCTGGGTTTCAAGGAAGGACCAGGTTGCTTTCTTGGAGATTTCACAAGAGGCATATGGGAAGGCATGGGAGAGAACATTCATCCACAGCCTTCTGCTCACTGCACACTCTGCCAGGAGTTTTTTCATCCACACTAGCACACAGAATCCCACAACCTGGGGAGGTATTACCTCTGTGTTATAGGTGGAGACCCAGAGGGTAAGGGCTTCAGGAGCCTGGGCTCAGTTGCATGAAGACTTTGTACGTCCGCCCTGACCCAGAGCTGCTTCCATCTTAACTGTCTTTGGACTTGATCAAATTTTAGACAATTGTGATATTTCGAGTGCTGTCCTTTCACACATTCTGCCTGAGCCTACTTGTTCTCGTCTTTAGCAGACAAAGTAATGATGGCAGCGATCGTAGTGCTCGTAATAGTAATGGTCAGTCATCACTGAGTGCTTCCCATGCCCACTCCATTCAGATCATGGCACAAGCCCAGGAGACAGGCAGTCATGATCTCTGTTCCAGATGAGGAAACTAAAGCTTGTGGCAGTAAGTAAGTAACTTGCTTAAGGACCCTCAGGTAGGAAGTGGACCCCACACCTTTGTGACCACACAGCCTGTGCCTTGGATGAGTGTACCATCTTGCCTGTTGTCTGGGATGTAGGGACACTGACAGTTTTCTTATGGGCTGGTTATAAAGAGGTTAATGAGATAGCTTAGCACATAGTGGGTACTCAGTGGTTGTTGGTTGCCACTGGATCTAGCTGGTGCTTTTAAGGGAAATACTGAAATCAGATGAGCCAATTAAGCATTTTCCTGAAGGCTGGGTTTCAGGGGCTCTTCCCCCTATTTTATGCTCAAGACCAGGGTTAGCATCCAGGATGGAATATGGTTTTCCAGAGCTGCGTGATTTCTTGGAAATTATCTGGTCCACCCCCACCTTTATTTTATCATTCGGGAAACTGAGGCTCAGAGAGCGGAAGGGACTTACCCAAGGTCATGCAGTAAGTGACAAGTGTCAGGTCAGGAACTAGAGCTGGGTGGCCCAGCTCCTCAGCTGTTTATAAATGATGAGGTTCTGACAGTTTTAGGGGACCAGGAGTCCCCAGTCAGCCCACAGTGTCTTCTCAAGAGAGGGGCTGATGCTTTTCTTACTGTTTATTGTTCACCTCACCTTGGACACAAGCCTAGAGTCCAAAGGTTTTTCACGTTCTGTACAAAAACAGCTAAAAATAAACACAGGTCATCTGAGTCTTCCTGAGTGGTGGGCAGCTGCCGCCCCTGTCTCTTGCCTGTGGGGCCCCACCAGAGCCGCTTTCATGAGGCTGTCCAAGGAAGGAGAACCCTGTTTTTCTGCTCTTGTCCAGGACATGGCTGAGTTCCAGCCCGCTTCCCATACTCAGACTTCAGCAGAAATTCTGAAATTTCGTTAACTTGAGAAAGTTTCCCGGTCCCCTCTTATATCCAAGGTAAAAACTATAACCCCAGCTTTAACTTAATTCAACGAACATGGCCCCTGCTCCTGGAGGCAGACATTGCAGTCTCAACCTGCTAGCTTGTGACTATGTGGAGATTTGGGATCAGGTCTGTGAGTAGATCACAGATGAGTCTGTGACAAGGCTTCAGGTGAAGGCCCAGCCCCACGCCAGCAGCTCAACAGGCAGCACGTGGGTTCCTGAGTTTGCACTGGCATTAGCATCCCCCGCCCCCTCCACGGACAGTATCCGCAGATGTCCTTCAGTTCAGTCCTATCCCATATCCCAATCAAGTGCTTTACAGTCCTCTGATGTCACAGAGGCCAGCCTTCAGGGTCTCCCCAGGATCAGAGTGAGCAACCTCTCCTCTCAGAAGAAGCTGCTCTGGATTGGAGAGACACCAACTCCGTTCCAGCTTCAGAACGTAGCGAGGTGCCACATAACTGTTCTTTAATAAGGATTTGTGGAATGAATGAATTCCACCTGCACCTGGGGCTCCCTGCAAGGTGCTGGGATGCAGTAGAGAGGATGGTGGGCAATCTTGTCCCCAGAGAGCAAGCAGCCTAGCAGAGCAGGCACAGACAGATAAGCAATCGCAATTCAGTGTATTAGTGCTAGCATTCACAATAGAACAGTTGGAGAATCAGATGCTACGAATGTGGGGGTTCTAATGGCTGAGGATTGGCTCAGGAATATTGGAGTGTAGCATGTCAGAGCTGGGAGGCATCTTGGTTTTTAAGTTCAAACTCTGTTTTACAAATAAGGAAGTAGAGGCCCAGAGAGGTTGCATGCTTTGCCCAAGGCCACCCTGTTTGGAAGGAGCAGAGCTGGGATTCAAGCCCAAGTCTGTCTGCCTTCCCTAAGCCTGATCCTCATCTGTTCTCATGCCCCCAGCTGGGAGTCCAGGCTCAGTGTGAACACGTTGATTGTAGTTCTGAGCACACAGTAGGTACTCCAAAAGCTGTTTATTTCC